GATATCGGCCTTTTTTTTACTCCCTAATATCGCTATCGGTATCGGCCCCAAAAAAAACATATCGGTCGGGCTCTAGTGGTAACATCAGTCTAAATAGCAGGGGTGTTTGTTCTGTCACAGGTGTCTAGGTAAGAAGTAGTGTTGTCAAAAGACCCGGTATTTCGGTACCAAGTCGGTACTAAAAAAATTTAAACGTTACGGTACCAGGTTTTTTTAAGTACCTGTGGTACCGAGTATCCGGTCAACCCGGTTCTTTTAATATATGAAATCTTATCTAAATTTATTATAAAAGCTGAGGTTTCTTATTTACTGAAAAGTTATATTTTAGCTGGTGTCAGTGATCTTATGTCAGACTTAGCCCATTGCTTTACTTAAGTATATTATATTTTCCTTTTACAGCTGCAGACTGAGGAAGATCCTGAAACACACCAGCAAACCCTAAAACAGACAACAGTTTACAGATGCTTTTCAGCGGCAGCAGAACTATGACTAAACTTTTGGGTGAAACTTGTTTACTTTTTTCATACTTTTATTACTTGTGGAAAAACCTGAAACAATTTTAAATAAGTATAAAGAATGGCATTGGTTTTGTACATTTAATTTTTGTTTAACGTTATTAATAAAAATGTTGTTCAATTAGCATGTTTTTGTGTTTTGCTTTGGTACCGAAATTGGTACCGAGAACCGTGGATTCTCACTGGTATTGGTACCGAATACTGAAATATTGGTACCGTGACAACACTAGTAAGAAATCTTTCTCAAGCCAAAGCTGGGTTAATCAAATAGAACACAAACCTCTCTTCAGTATCTCATGGCTCCTTGATCCACTTCATGCCCCTTAAACCCAACAACGGCCACTCCAGAACTGTGCTTTTCCGCCTCTTGACCTGAGTGCTAATAGTACCCGCAGAGTTCACCAGCTCTTAGTGTACACATTCATGGGCATGTCTGTCAGGTTTTTTTTTTTTTTTACAATACTATAAGATCATGTTTGGTTTAATCAAGGACTAGTTAAGCATTTAGTGTGAAGTCTAAGAGCATATAATAGAAATAGGTCCAAATAGCCTGTTGAGTTGTCTCCTGTTGGTATTGACCTGTCAGGCTTGTAACAGCACTCCGGTGAGACTGAGTAGCCTGTAATTTGGTGGGTGGTTCAAGGTGCCCTGCTCTTTCAGCTTGAGAGCTCTCTCTGTCACCATTGATCAATAGTGTGTAGCGTAAGATCTATTACCCACTGAAACCCATGTCCCCGTACAGTAGAAATCAAAGACTTCTTTGAGAAGGGTCGTCTTTGAGAGTTCCACTCTCCATTCTCTGAGTGCCATTCATCTGTGGTCAACGGGTATTTGTGGAGAGACAAAACACAAACATGCTTCTATACTCTCAGATAATATTGAAAGGAGGATAAAATGGTCATCACAAAATAATTTATAGATTTGATGGTTTCCTTTGGACATTGGGAAGAAAAAAAATGTTTTAGTATAACTTGAGTGTCCATATATTTTGGGTTCACTGTGGATGAAGAAAGTATTTTAACATTGATTTCTGGATTGGTGCCATTCTCCTTATGTCAATATTTCACATTGTTTCAGGTACAGGAACCTTTGGAAGGGTTTTTCTGGTGAAGGATAAAAAGACAAGAGGTTTCTTTGCTCTGAAAGCGATGAAAATCCCAGATGTGATTCGCCTGAAGCAGGAGCAACACGTACATAATGAGAAAGAGGTTCTGACGGAGGTGAACCATCCGTTCCTTGTCAGACTGTAAGTGAACACTACACAACATTAACATATAGGCTACAACAGAAATGAAAATCGCATAAAAAATACAATAAGTTATGATCTGTATAAACATTTCAACATACTTAACCAAAAATATCAATGTATCAAATATCGTTTGGCCTTCTACAATCATCTTTAAAGTTTTCTCTATCTTTAAACTTATTTGTTATCTTTAAATTTTTTAAATTAAATATTTTTAACGATCCACCTCACTTTTCAATGTGGAAGTAAGCGGTTTTCTGTGAATTTGCGAGATTTCCGCTTCATTAGCTGCTGTAGGGTAATAACGAGAAGAATGACAAAATGCAGTAAATGGTAAAACTGTTTGCGCTACACACCAATGTGTTTATAATTAAGACAGTACATTAAAATAATATGGCAAGAAACACCAGTTTGAAATATCAAGCAGCAAAAAGAGCTATTTTGTTCAGTTAAAAATAGCTGGAAGCGAATGAAACCGGACACATTAAATTTACCACGCCCGCTCTTACAGGAATGTAATGAGAATAGATAATAATCTATACTATACCAGTGGTTAGTGGACCTTAAAAAAAAAAAAAAAAGATATTTCTTATGTTTGTTTTAGTTGTTGGTTTATTTTTTGTATTTTAATTTAATTTAATTTATTTGTTTTAATAATTTTTTAATTTTTTGAAGTAGGTTCGCATGGTCTTGAAAAGCCAGGATATATGAGGTAGTCTAAGGTGGCTTTCACACTGGGCTCATTTGCTGTGGTTCGAACCCGAGTGCGATAGTTCCCGGCACCCCCTGCAGCGTTGATCTGGTTTCACACTCTTCATCTTACATCATCACAAACGTGCACAACGTATGATAGAAAACAGAACGTGCGTCAATATATTGTGTTTTTTAATTCATTTGGTGCTATTATGCACAACAGAGTAAATGACATATGGGTTTACTGTATGTGCGTCGCATGTAGACGGCTATTTTGAGGAGACAGCGGATTACCATTCATTTGCCACTCTGATTGCAGTTGCTACACGCGAATACACTGCTGCTCACTCTCGCTCGAATCCTAGGTAAATCAGCAACACTATCATCACTTATATGTGTTTTATTGAAGAAAATACATTGTAATTGGCTAAAACGCATGGGCATGTTACTTTACTTCCTGAACAAGTGTGCACCCGAGTCCGTGTTGCTTTCATATTAACGCGAACCGTGTCTCGGGTTCGGTTCCCCGGTGCGCACCCGCACTCGCATGACAGCTTTCACACTAGCCAAACGTACCGAACTCTGACGTCAATCGAACCCAGGTGCGCACAAAATGTGCTAGTGTGAAAGTGCCCTAATTTTAAAAGTGCGATTTATAGACCTGGAAAAGTCTCAAAGATTAATGCAAGCTTATAACTCCATGGGCATTTTCATAATGAATATTCATTTTTGTAATTATGCCAAGTTTTAAAATATTTTATCAGGTAGAAATTGTGAGTAAAAAATATTTGTAAAAAATATTTATCCAGTAACTCTCTGAAAACTAGAAAAGTCATGGGGCCTTTGAATATATTTATGGGCAATGTGGGGCCTTGAAGTCAAAAAGGTTGAGAACCACTGTACTATATCATGATTTTTGACATTATGGCATGACCTCAGCTTAGAGTTCCTACTGTAATTATTGGTTGTTTACAATTGTTTTATGCTTTTGTAATGCATTTTTTTTTTTTTTATGTATAGCCCATTTGTCACAAGCATATGGCAAGTATACATATGTATATGTAACTATTGTATGACCAAATCACATGTAACGCATTATGCTTTCTCAGGTTCTGGACGCACCATGATGATCGTTTCCTGTACATGTTAATGGAATATGTGAATGGTGGTGAACTCTTCAGCTATTTACGCAGCCGAGGGCGTTTCAGCAACAGCACTGGAATGTTTTATTCAGCTGAAATTGTGTGTGCCATTGAATACCTTCACTCCAAAGAAATCGTCTACAGAGACCTGAAACCAGAGAATATACTGCTGGACAATGAAGGGCACATTCGATTGACAGATTTCGGGTTCGCAAAAAAGCTCTCAGAAAGGTATGTTGGCAATTGGTTATCTACAAAAACAACATTGTGTAATTTTCGTAAAGTCATGTTATGTACACACACACACAGAGACGTCTCTTATTCTTAATTTGTCTGTTTGTTGTTAATGTCTTCTCAGCTGATGTATTATTACACTGAAATATACTAATTTCTAGGGCTGTGTATCACCAGCAAATTCACGATACGATACTTATCACGATACAGAGGCCACGATACAATGCGTATCATGATACAGGACTGCACTGAATTTCACCTCAGCAGAATTTAGAAAAACAGCTGTTTATTAAACACTGCTTACTATAGTGCCTAGTGTTGTCACGGTACCAAAATTTCAGTATTCGGTACCAATACCAGTGAAAATCCACGGTTCTCGGTACCAATTTCGGTACCAAAGCAAAACACAAAAACATGCTAATTGAACAACATGTTTATTAATAACGTTAAACAAAAATTAAATGTACAAAACCAATGCCATTCTTTATACTTATTTAAAATTGTTTCAAGTTTTTCCACAAGTAATAAAAGTACGAAAAAAGTAAACAAGTTTCACCCAAAAGTTTAGTCATAGTTCTGCTGCCACTGAAAAACATCTGTAAACTGTTGTCTGTTTTAGGGTTTGCTGGTGTGTTTCAGGATCTTCCTCAGTCTGCAGCTGTAAAAGGAAAATATAATATACT